TTTTGAGCATGTGGCTTTGTGAACTCCCAATGAGAAATGCAATGGCAAGCAGCCAGGTGACAATTTCTTGGAGACCTCACATATTGCGCTCCTTTTTGGTTTTTAGTAGCCCTTTTTGGTTTTTAGTCTTTAAAGGGGGACGCGGTCTTTGAAAACGGAAAAAATCGCGAAAAGGTCGATTTTTGGGAACCACATATTCGGGCAGTATGTGTCATAAACTACTTTTTTTTTTAAATATTGTAGGCATTCATTGAACACATCTACTATCTTTACACATGTTCATCATCATGAGTGGTCGTCATCGTCATCTGCTGTGGAAACTTGGCTTGCCCGAGTTCAGTGCCTTGGGTGTGGTCGCTTCATCGTGTCTTCTGGGCCTTTTAATGGTGGCCTTCACCATTACATAACAATATTAACATCTAACTGATTGCAAAACTGTTTGAAATAAAGTTTACAACAAGCCGTTTGAGGGCTCGAGCGACATGGTAGCGCTCAAAATAGCCCAACTTGGCGCGATCGCAGTTTCTCGGCCACGAGACGGAGGTCCACCATTTTGGAGTTGCTTTTTGTGAATTCTTGCACTTCATTTTCCTGCGAACTGTGGCGACGGCAACAGCGCAGGAAAGAAGCAAGCTGGTTATGATTAGAGGGCTCGCGAGAGCTTTGAAGTTTTCCGTGGCAGAGACGCGCCACCGGGATTGGGCCATGCGCACGCTCCTCAAAGATGAGAGGGACCCTGCGACTGGCTGCTGCGCGCGATGATGTAGTACTCTTGCACACATAATGCGGCTCTTCGTCGTCTGCTGCTCCTCCATCCTCGGCGTTTTCTTAGTGTTCTGCTCACTATCGTCTATCGTTGCAGCCGTTCGCATACTCTCCGCGTTTCAACAGTTTTTACTAAACGATTTTCAAACGTCTTCACGTGACGATATTCAACTGTCTTTATGAGACCGTTGTTGCATTCGCTCACGATGCGTCCAACGAAAAGGAAGACGCAACAAGTATTCGGTGCAAGGAAGCGATTTATGAAGGTTGTCCGCTTGGCGGGGCTCTCCAAGAGAAAGAGGTTGTGGATCAACAACGGGCGGCTGTTAAAAGAGAACTCTGCACTTTGCCAGGGACATAGCAGAAATTTTAGGCAATTGAGCGCGATCAATGCAGCGCGACCTGGCCAATCAAAGCGGGGCCAAGAAAAACTCACTGTGCTTGAAAAATGCTAAGAAGAGATCTTTGGAGACGATGGAAAAGCAGCGAAGAAAGAGAGTGCCAAAGGACACCTCCAGTTATGCTGCAGGGTTGTTTTAGATTTGCATATGTGCCCAAAACTTTCAAATGTCGTTTTGTAAAAATGACTTTTTTGGCTAGTGAGGCTGCTTGTTCCAGCAATATCTGGGAACCACTCATCCTATTTTCATGTCTTTTTTTTTAGTATGTAAGTGAATAAATTTCTGAGGAGGAGACAAGCTCATTTTTTCAATATGTTGTCTGTTACTTATGGTACCTAATCAAAACTTGATTAATAATAACCCAATCAGCAACACTAAATTTGATGGTCTGCTAAAACTTTTCAGTAAGGAAATTAAAAAAAAGAGCTCTTTTACCCCGTGAGGTATCACTCTGAGAATAATTAATTTCAGTGTTCCAGCATCTTCTGAAAGTTCTCCAGGCCTGGAATAAGAGAACCAAGTGCACTATTCTGACATACTGCGGTAACTGGAGAACCATTGAACATAACCTAATGAAATTTTGTAGTAGTTTTAATGCTTTTGCTATTAGTCTATCCTGAAAATTTTGTTGAGATATCTCAATAAACAAAAAAATTTGGTATCTGGTGATAGTCTCCCCTGGATTTTAACCTACTTAAAGTTTAATTACAACCCTCATTTTCGTTGTTGTTGGGAAAGTAGAAAAACCAAACTTGGGAAAGCAAATAAAAACGAAAAACATGTAATTATAGAAAACTTGAATTTTTCTATTTAAGATTTCTTTCAACAAAGTGCAGTTCAGGGACAGTTCAGTGCAGCAATAGAAACGCATAAGTGGCTTTTCTTTTTCCTTTGGTTTGAAGGGAGGGGAAGGGCACTTGTGTGCATGACAGCAAGAACAACGGTGACGCTGGTTGGATGGGTGCTGGCCCGCCTGCCCTGTCTCGTGCACTATTGAGTGCTTGCTCACTCTCCACAGTCGCCAGGGTACCAAGCACGCTGTGTGCGACATTGCTGCTTCGCACTTTGTCGTCGTCGGGGCAACCACAGAAAATGCATGATCACGCTAAAATGACAATAGGGCAAAATTGTTCAGTTATTGGCAGCAGAAATTAGTTTTGTGAAGGGTGTCTCTTGCTGTAGCTTCGTCGCATAGAGGCCGCAAATACGTGTGTTTCTATGGAGTAACAGCAGGGAATAAATATCTTAGTAATATCAAGGAATTCATTCTATGGAGGTTCGTTATGGGCAGTTTGTTATAGGCATATATAACTGCGTATATATGTAACAGCCACAAATAAAAATAAATAATGCAGAATAATATTTTTTAAAGTGCAGAATTGAACAGGTGGTCTCTCGCTTCATTGCATGTGGCGTTGCACGGCTCAGCGCACATCCTTAAGCACACTAGCACGGATCTGCTATGTGCACCATTCATTCTGTTCTCTGCATCATCAGCAAGACGTCTCGTGATGCGTTTACTGTGCACTTTTTCCTACAGGGCGTGGTTACTGGTGTTATGTCATAATGGGCCGTTTGTACGTCTTGTGCTCTCACCGGAAAGGTTGCGTTCGAGTTACAGAGCACACAAAGGTCACTTCGCTTCTCCAGAGGGACCGTTTGCAAAAAGAGCGTGTAGTTCAAATACAATAAAGTAACAACTGTAATACTTGTTAGTTTGTGCTCATCCTGATTAGTGCGTCCTTTCTACTTAAGGCGTGCGCTTCACATTTTGATCTGCTTGCATTTTTTTTCGTGCGCCATTTCGATTTGTTGCTATTTTATTCATTGCTTCACCGCCCTTGTGTTGAAACTGTGACCATTTTTTTTTTTTCTTCTTTAGCCCATATGCATCACAGTTTAGCCAGTTTTGCCATTTTGTAGGCAGGCAATCGGCTTTATTAGCGAGGTTTAGTTACATAAAAATGCGAATGTTCAGCTCGAAGCAACAAAGGCAGCAGCTAATTCCAGGTGCGGACATGCAAAAGTTTGAATTAAGTGAATATGCGCATGGGTCACTCTGAATTAAACGGCTTTAAAATATATTGGAAACAGACTGGGCGAACCAGAAACTGTTTGAATGAACCCAAAGTTTGAATTGTCGAGAGTGTACTGTGTTGACCAAATGTCACAAAACGAGCGCTCAAAAAGGGCGCGCCGCCAAATTCTCGCGACGAAGCGCCAGAGTGACGCCGCGAGGTCAACCATAAAAAAGAAAGAAAACAAACATCCAACGACTCCCCGGGCACGCGCGCCTCTCTCTTCAGAAGCGTTGCTTTGCCGACGAACTTCCTCACCCCACATCGGCGGCCGAGCAAACACTCGAAATTTCTAGAAGGAAAGAGGCGTGGTGGTGCCGGGTTGAGTCATCCATCGCGGACGGCCTTCGAGCCGTCTCGTCCTCTCCCCAGCCTTCGCTGCGTATCGCGCCGACGAAATGACGAGAACTTTCTGGAATCTCGCGCGGAAGGTATTTAATCGAGCAGCCGAGACGAAAGATCAGGAGAAGACGGAAGTTAGCGCCAGAGCGCGTAGGGGTTCCGCCGTGTAGTCGGCGAAGGTTTTGTCCGTAGAGACAAAGCAGGAGAAGAAGAGGATTTCCACCTGAGGGGCGACGACTCGAGCTACAGGCCAGAGTGTGTGTTTACCGCTATCGAGCGAAGACGCGTGGCAACAGCTGCGTGTGTGAAGCCGACGTGTTTCCGGCGAAGAAGTTTGAAGCTTGGAAAGTGGCCTATTGAAGACGCGAGGTTTCCTGGAAGAGAAACTTCGGGGGCCGCGGAACGACAACAACGCTGGACTTTGAGTGAGTGATTCTCGGAAGAGTATCATTCAGACTTTTGTTCCGAGAATTTTGGACTGAATAGGTTTCCTTCTCTTTAGTCTTTAAGTGTCTTGGTTGTTCAATGCATGCGACTGCATTGTAGTGCGTATTGTTGGTTGTGTCCGTTGTTTCGAGTGTGGCTGATTGTACTGTGTAGTACGTTGTTTGATTGGTGACATATTGTATGCAACTATTGTGGAGTGTGCATACTTGTGTATTGTTTTTGATCTGCCATTATTGAGAATATAAATCTGTTTTGTTTATCAACTCTCGGCTCTGACTTGTTCTTTGGGCCACAGCCGGCGTCCGCTGACGCGCCAAAAAGGACCACTTCTAAATTGTCCACGCTTTCGTGGTGCGGTTCGGGGGGCCAATACTTCGGCCCTTGGAATTAGCCCGGCGATCGCCTTTCGAATTAACGGGACCTGTGTGACACCAAATCAAAAATAAAACACACAAAAAAATGATGTTTTGGCTCCCACATGGGAGCCCTTTTTCTAGTAAAATGAAATGAAAATGCAATTTTTTAAAAGTGTGGTTGCAAGTTGTCAGGTGACACTGATGGTCATACTTTCACAACTTTCAGAGCCAAAGTAAAAATAGAATTCCTTTTTTCTTAAACAAAAGCATGCTCGTTGCTGCCAACATGACAAAGAATTTTCCCATTTCTAACCAAAATGGCTGGATTTGTTCCAAGTGGTAGACAGTTCTTTTGAACACAGCAACCCTTGCCCCGCAGTGTAGTTAGGAAGGCACGTAGATAGCATTTGATTGCTTTGGCTGTTTCGCTTTCTCTCTAGATGTTTTGCAATAGGGGCAACTAAGAATTCCAATTTGGGCGCTGTGTTGTGTCTATGTGCCTTCTCTTGTCCGTGTTCGTTGTCTGCGCTACCATCTATCATCATGCAACCATACCAACAAGCCCAAGTCGCCACCCTCATCCAATTTGGGGTTTCAATATTTTTTCACAGGTACCAGCAGAGTTTCCATGGCGTGGACCTTTCCAGCTTGCGGGAGGCAGCCGTCAAGGAGTACTTCAGGCAACCTGTCGTGGTGAGTTGTAGATTGCTATCACCGCTGTAAAGTTGTTTGCTTCTTGTGGCGCGCATAAGTCTCGCACTTTGACCAGATCAACAGTGCTAGCATGGCCGCCCAGTCGCAGGGCTAGGTGGCTGCACAGAATACATTAGTGAGCCTGTTTTGGGCATTGGTGGCTGACATTGCTGGTCACCTCTTGTGGTGTGTCCATGGGGCAACACCATGGGTTGATTCCAGTGGGATCTTTCCCGAGGAATCGCAACGGCGACACCGCATTCGTGGGTGTCGCCCACGAAGGAACGTGCCACTAGAGACTTTTTTTTTATTTGGCTGGCGATATTGTCACGGGGTCGTGACCTGAACGATGGGGGCAGACTTCTCAACAAAGAAGAAACTATTTATTCGGGCTGAACTTGTGGCCACACAAAAGGAAAGAAAGACATGTGACACTGATAGCGGCGAACAGAGCGTCGGCCGTCGATCAACTGACAAGTGGTAGAGCGTGTCGGCATTTGTACCTTTGCCATCGAATATTCTAGCATTATCGCTAGCGGCGACGTAGGTTCTTGAATAATCTGTGATGTTCCCGAAGTCGGCGTAATCTTAACAAAACGATCTACTAAAGCCTCAAACCTTCTCGAACGTCATAGGCGCGGATTGCGCTGAACATAGTGCAATGGGGTGACAACAGGACTTGAAGAAAGTAGCATGGCAATATCGTTAATGTAAAAGCAAGAACGGCAGACTCTCAGTAAATGTAAATCTGTTAAACGGAAATACTGCTTAAGTAGAACTATCGCCTTTGCAATGCTTGGTTTCGGGCTTGTATTCTACACCCATGGTAATATCTCTGTAAACGGAACTCCTGTTGAATGGAACACATTTTCCCGGTCCCTTCTTCTTCTATTTTATCTGTTCCGTGAGAGCTCCATGATGTCAAGACGCCACAGTGCATGCACTGATGAGGAGGGTTCCACGGCACCTTGCATGTCAGAGCTGCTGGTCCGATTTTTAGTAGGCTTGTGAGAATAGTAGCTGTCACATTTAAAGCGAATTGTGATTTGGTCAAATGATTTCAAGTCAAATTTGTATAGTATGCAAATGTTATATAACTAAAGAAGCTTTTTCAATGGGCCTAATGTACTTAGGAAGAGTATGTACAAGTGCGACGTTATGGACGTGCTGCTTGAAGAAAGGAAAGGGAGAGTTGCTGGTGTTGCCAAACAGTTCTCCTCGTCTCACTCGCTGCAAAAGAGAGAAGGGTGAAAGTGAGGCACGTGCCGTAAATAAATGAAAGATAAATGAAAGGAAATATAGATAGAAAAGGGTGTGTTTGAAGGTTGCAGAGTAACATTATTCGTGTGCTTGGGCAGCAGGCAATGTACAACTGTGTTGTCAAGCTGAACTTCAATGAACACAAAGATGAGCGCACAAGGATTATAAATGAAGGAGCAAACATAGCGCGTGAACACTTGACTTGCATCAGCAAACCTTCAATATATCTGTCTGAAAAGAAGCTAGCGTTTTTGGACAGTTGTAGATGCCATAGGCGTTAAAGGGACACTAAAGCCAACTATGAAGTCGACGTTGATTGTTGAAATGGCGGTCCAGAAACCTCGTGCTTTTTTCGTGCTATGGAAGGGCCTATTTTGAAATAAAATCATGTTTTAGTGCTTCCAACGGGTTAGCGCACTTCAAATTACCCACCTAAAGAAGCAGATCAACCAGATCGTCTCACGTCACTGTTGCTGTGCACAAGAATGCCCAGCTTTACTGCGCTAGTAGCAGAAGACAGAAAGCAGTGAGAGCCACAGCAGCAACACCGGCCATTGATCAATTTCCCACCATTGGCATCGAGATTGCCGACGCTTTTGTTTCAACTGCGCCTCGCTAGATGGCACCACCTGTCCCATGTAACCATGCGAAAATTGAATTCTCACGCCATTCCTCATAGTAACGTCGGGCGGTTCTTTTTTGCATGAATCAAACAGAAATGAACGAGCAGCATTTTATTGCATCTCTTGATGCACTGAAGGTTGTTTATTTAGTGGAGTGGGATCGATTACTAGTGAATAATTGTAGGCAGTCCGTCTGATGTCTTCAGGATCATTTTGAAGATGTCCTACTGCGGCACTTGTGTTCTTGTGCATTTACCTTAATTTCTCGGTGAGTAGGGCACTTTGGGTGCATTAACCTTAATTTCTCGGTAAGTAGGGCACTGTTGTTGATAAAATTGTTGTTTTAGATGTTGTCATACATTGAGCTTTCACTCTGACACAAATCGTTATTTGACTTTAGTGTCCCTTTAAGTAATCGCTCTAAGGCATAGTGGGCATTGGTAAGGTGGGGCTGGCAAACATAGATATTTCATCTGTTTTGTTATTTCGGTTTGCAATTTGGTCTTGACATATGTGCCTACGAAATTGTTTCGTGTGCAAATATATATTTCACAACTTTCCGAATAAACATTCAGTTGGTAGTAAGCGCTTGTCCCTGTATATCCTGTCCGTGTCTATGTAGTGCGCTCTCATTTCAAAAAATCATGTATCACCAACTCGCCCAATCAACCATATTGACAAGTTAAAGACTTTATATTTGGTGGAATCGAGTTCAAAAACCAAATGGCTCTGAGTGACATTGACTTTATGCTGTAATTAGTGCAAGCGTGGAGTAGTAATAAATTTCGTTCTAATGCGAAGTGAGTGCGGTTAGTTTTCGAATGCAAGGAAGGCAACAGATCACGATTGGTGAGCACGTCTTAATACTGACACAAGGATGCATGCTGTTTATATTCTTCCTGCTTGCAATGTGGGAAGGCAGCAACGTGTTGCAACTACAATTATCTATGCATCTGAAAACACCGTGAAACACATGTAAAACACATAAAACGTGCCCAGCAGCAGAAAACGGTGAACGAAATACGCTGTACACTCTGAGCAAATGCGAGATGCACTGGTGGGCTCCCAGCCGTTTCGCTTTACTTGGGCCAGCCAGAGTGTTCGTAAGCCCTGGCTCGCTGGGAAGTGAAATGTTCACACGCCTTTTTTGTTATAGTTAGTGCACAGCAGTACGCAGCATGGAGGGTTTAACACGCACCGCAACATTTGGCACTATATTGTTAAGCATTAGATGGCACTAAGATGGCACGATTGCACGACATTGCTGTCTGGCAACATTGTGTTTTGGCGGGCAGCTGTGCGTTGGCGGCATGAAGTGGGGCCCTGAAACGGTCATGTAGGCCACATCGGTTGACGCATGCGTCTGTATATATAACCATCACGGAATATTAAAACAAAGTAATTTCATCTAGTTTTTAGAGGTATTTTCTTCACCATAGACTATGCGGAGAGAAAGCGGTGCCAAGAGAGGTGGTGGTGCCACCAATGTATGTGTGTGCAGGACACATTTGATGTGCGCATTTGTCTGGCCAAGTCCCTTCGGCACACTGTGGACTTTGAGCGTGCCACTGAAAACGATCTGCATTGTATCGAGATACCCCTGCAATTCAGCCTGCTGCAGTCTGGAGAGCTGCATGGGCTGGCCTTCTGGTTTGACGTGGCGTTTGCCGGATCTGTGTAAGTAATTTTGATGGCACCTTGGCCTTGAGCTTGAATTGCATATTGTACACTAAACCATGAGCACTTAATGTTATAGTTGTTTATTAGTTCAGTGAGCCTAAAATACGTACAGCACTCACTTCTAAATTGTTTATTGCTTACATGAACACTGGAATTTATACACCAGGTAACACATGCATGCATAACACCAAGACTAGCAGAGAGAGTGACCTAAATATATATTTTTAATTTGCTAAGGTGCATAAGCCTGGTGAACTTTTTTTGGACTGTGGTTGGGGTGTGGGGGCCATGCCGAGTTAATGCTACAATGTTATTGAGAACTAACCAACAACTATGCCCAGAAAAGGAACACTCCCAGATTTGAATGCACATATGTACTCTGTAATGTGAATGAGGGACGCATCATTTGAAGGTTCGGTACCCGCTTGCGGCGAGTCATCTCTTCACATTTCAATTACTTTATCCCCTTTCCTTTCCTCGGTATTGCTCTCTGGTACTTCTTATTAATATTGTCTTAACGAATAAGAACGAACCCTTAAATTTTCATTTCAAAGCAAGCAAGGTGTTTTGAGCGAGATCTGCCTTTCTCCCTACAGCCAGACAGTGTGGCTCTCGACGGGCCCCACACAGCCTCTCACGCACTGGTACCAGGTGCGCTGCCTGTTGGAGACACCGTTGTTCGTGCAGCGGGGTCAGCGCTTGGGTGGTCGGGTGGTGCTGCGCTCCAATCGCCGCCAGAGTTATGATGTTGACATCGAACTTGAGCTCGAGGGAGGTTTGCGGGCGTGCAACAGCCTGGACTTGAAGAACCCCTTTTTCCGGTACACGGGTCAACCTCCTCAGCCACCCCCAGGCTGCCACGAGACATCGCCCAGCGAGGCCTATTGGGCCACCTTGGATGCCAATGGTAACTTGCCCACTTGGTCGTGCTTCGTTGTCGTGAGACTGATAATGACGTCAATCTAGAACTGTGTGCAAACGAACACAAAGAAGTCAAGACACCACAAACTTTTACTGAAGCCACATTCAGAAAGTGAATTGTCTGTAAAAGTGACCCGAACCGATTTTCTTTGTGCGTAAAGTTGGCCTTTTTGGTCACAGCCAATCAGGGCCCAGTATGAGTGCGTACAGCATCACGTAGTGCCACAACATGGCTGCACAGTCACCCTGGATTGAAGGATTGTTCTACTATTGTGGGCGGCAGTGAGGGCAGAAGGCAATGTGCTTGGTCTAAACAGCCGTACATGCTCACTGCATCTCCACTTTAAAAATCTTCTTTCCTGCATGCGTGCGCCAGGTGAACGCACCTTAACAAATGAAAAGCGTGAGAACTCTATATGTCATTCCTCAAACACTGATTGAGCTATTCACTGATAGAAAATTCACTGAGAGCTTACAGGTGGGGTGCATTAGGTGTTCTTTTTAAACGGCAGCCGCATCTAAGTAGGAGAGACAGGCTGCTGCATTAACTATTGGAACTGTGGTAACTGGAGGCTCACCTTCTAATCTTTCCTTATATTGTCGAGAGTGACAGTGCACGCCAGAACGCAACAAACACACACTTTTCTACTGGCATAGGAATGACGAAATGCGTTTTATGATTGGGACACGGCATACAGGAGTGAAACAGCTGTGCCATTGTCTGCCGAGTTTGCTTACCTGTATCAAATCGCTTCTTTTGCGCCAAACCCGTTTAAAAGCGCAGTACCTGGCCGCAACACCCGAATATGGCCTGAAGGTGCCACAGTCTTATTCAATGCCTGGAAATGTGGCTGTAACATCTTGTTCATCAAAATAAATTTAGTGTCGGTTTCATCATGGCTGCCATCGCTCAAGCAGCAACTGTGAACTGATTGTAAGGGCACGGTCATGATCACTGGTGGTGTTAGCAGGCATCAGCGCTATTGGCTTGGAAACCCTTCTACAGCTGCACTCAATGCGAATAGACTCTTCCTGGCACAGCCGTATTCTTATACCAGCATTTTGTAGAGTTGTGCAATGTTGCATCCGAAAGAGCTAGCCATAAAACATTACATTTTGTTGCTATTGCATTCATTGTTTGAAAAGAAAAAGGATGGTCATAACAGTGCTGAAAAAAGGGGGGGGGGGGGACACCAGTTCTCGGCACAGCATAGCAATGACATGTGCACGGGACTGCTTATGAAGCCCATGCATGTATGCTCGTTCTTAACTCCTATAGAGCACGGAAAGGTTAGAGAGGCAGAGGTGCAAAGTGGATGCAGCATTGACTTCCACTAAATTATTTATTTATGAAGCAATAGAAGTAAAAATTAGGCTTGTGCAAATATTCAGATGCTTCGAATATTCGAACGGATAGTAGAGTATTTGAATTTAATATATTGAAAATTTCAAATTATTCGCTATAAACAAATACAGTCGTCCCTTGTTAATTCAAACTCGAAGGGACCTCTGAATTTTGTTTGAATTATCAAGGAGTTTAAATTATCAGAAGTTCTCAGATAGATGGCTCTGGGTGAGGTGCCACCGCTCATTATGATTAGGCATTGATTTTAACACATTGAAATTTTTAAAAGTATTTTTAAACCCAAACCGCACGCATTGAACAGAAAGCAGAGGTGCAAGGTCCACAAGTTTATTGGCCATTTACTGTTGAAAACACCTTTAAATAAATCTCAAATTGCCAACAGCTTCCTTGCTATAGGTATGTGCCTTCAGCACAAAGCTCTCTAAACCAGTTGAGAAGCATCGCCGTATACCATGCGTGTGCTTTGTTTCAAACATTTGTTTATTAGCAAAGCCTTTCCCCTTGCAGGCCTAAGGTGCTTGTTTTTTATTTTTAGACTGTTACGATTATATAAGCACGCAAATTTTTCAGTAGTAGTGGTAAAGCAGCAGATATTATCTGATATGGAACTGCAAAAAGTATGAATTTTACCGAATTATGAAGTTTGAAATAAAAGGCTTTTAAGTACATTGAAAGAATAGAGGGCCAACCAAAAAAATTGAATTTTGCTTGACTAAACCGAAAGTATGAATTACCAGAGTTTGAATTATCGCAAGTCTACTGTTCGTGTATATTAGTACTCACATAACCACTTGTAAAGGTGGTTTCACTGTAGTGTAGGAGTGCTAAGCCGAGAAAGCACAATCTCGGAGAAATTCGCTCAGCCGCGAAGCTCCACTTCAAATTTAAAGGGGCCCTGCTTTTTGAGCATGGTCAGAAAACGCTGTTGATCGGTGGTCAAGGCTACGGAGAACAAGCGAGCCAAATGTTATAGCGCAGCACACGGCCTGCAATTCACAATAAATTCTCAGTCGGCTGAAAATTGCTCTCGTATATGGCGCCACAAGCTCAAAAATCACTCATCACTGCCATTTTATCAGCCATTATCTGATTTGAGTATGGAGTGCTCGGTCGTTATTGGGGCTGCTGTGGGAGGCCGCCACTTGTCCATGTGTGCCTGCTCCATTGCACTGAAAAAAAGAAAAAAAACTGCTCGAGGTCCCAAGGTGCATGTGATGTTTTTTTTCCTTATGCCATCCCTTCTTGCTTACCTGACGAATCTTTGCAACTTCACTTATAAAAAGTAAGTTCTAAAATCTGTTGCGGTGGTGAATTCATGAGCAATAAGCTTCTTTGATGAATCCATTCCATGTCTAATTGAAAAGCATTGAAGGGCTCCTTTGATGAACATACAGTACCCTCTCAGTAAACGGAATCTGAAGGGATCGGGAAAATATGTTCCATCTAACAGGAGTTTCGTTTACTGAGAGGTGAACATGGGTGCAGAATACAAGCCCGAAACCAAGAATTGTTGAGGTAATAGTTCCGCTTAAGCAGTAGTTACGTTAAAAAGATTTCCGTTTATTGAGAGTCTACTGTGTTACCCTCAAATTGATTCATCATTTTTTTAAACCTTGAAAGCTTGTTATGACAGCTTATATGCTCCAAATATAACAAATTTGAAAATATTACATACAGTGGACTCTCAGTAAACGTAAATCTGATAAATGGAACTGCTGCTTAGATCGAACAACTGCCTCTTATATGATTTGTTTATTCCCTGCATACTGCACCCCAGTTCACTTCTCAGTAAATGGAACTCCTGTGAAACAAAACACATTTTCACGGTCTCTTCAGGTTCCGTTTAATAAGAGTCCACTGTATTTTACAGGTTATCGCTTACATCCTACCGAAAGTCAAATCCTGCTACCACACAGAGTTGTTCCTTTGAACGTAAAAAAAAAGGCATTTGCATGGAGGACTTACATCAATTAAAAAAATATATATTGTGCAGGTCAATTAGGTCATGGTAAATATGCCAGTTTATCGTGACCTAATTGCTCACAAGAAATATGCCCAATAAAAATACAGGTTTTTGGAAACAGCGCACGCAGGCACATAAGTACGAGATTGAATTTTAACTCCTTAACGGCTCTTCTTTTTTTAATTTCTGGTCAGAAAGTGTATTTTTTTTATTACTGATTCCGATTCTGATTGCACTAAAGTTAGTAGCTAGTCGATGTTGAAAAAATATTTTCACCACATACTTAGTCAAATCAACGGAATGGAGTTTATTTCTGAGCAGTACATAGCAAACCAGCTATTTGCTGCTAACAAAAATTAAAAACCTTATTAACAAAACTGTTGCAGACACCACATCTTTCTTCATTTGTGTAGGCTAAGTCCTCTTGGGGTATTTCACTCGGGAAGCTCTGGGCCTGTGTGAAAAATTTCAAGACGCGGCATAATGCAAAGCGGCTTCACTGGCGGGCAGTGCAATGTTCGCGCCATCGCTGTCTTCACTTCAGGACACAAGATAAATATCTGTACTCTAGTCATCATGACTAAAAAAAAATGTCGAAAACGAATAGCTTCTTTTTCGTGTTTAAGGGCCAGCTATGCATGGGTCGCCACCACCGCGCGCAGTCTTTCCATACAAAAACTCTGCTCCTGTCGCAGGAAAAAACTTAATCCTCAAGCAAATGCTGCCATCTAGTGGATGACACACAATGTAACACCCTAAATGTGCGCCTCTTCACCTGAACATTAGAGGGAAGTATAATTCTCGCACCCACCACATCGCCCCCCAAAAAATACGATTCTTTTTTCCTCGAACAATTATCGCACCCCCGAAAACTGCCGCAATAAAGTCGTCTGCTCGTTCCAACCATTGATGATGATGATAGCGCACACCATCTGGTGCCATGTCTTAAACATCAAGCGTACTATTGCACGGAGATCCAAGCCAAGCCAAGCCGAAGTAGCCAGTGCGCGTTGCGGCGTGTTTGTGTGTTGTGTCTGTAATCTTGGCACGTTATGGGGCGATACTGCAGCCACACGGCTGCTTCAAGTTGCAAGTGATAGATCATGCTCTAAACAACGGCAACAGGGTCGCCGGTAGGCCTTTCGGAGCCTACGAGTTTTGTGTTCGCTACTGGTGACGGCAGCTGAAAGCCACCAAGACGTGTTGGGCCTGCTAGTGCCTAAAACTGGTATTGATGGTAAACTTTATTTCTTCAGAAGGGAACTGCGGACGATTCTGTTAAATAGCCATCAGCCCAATACTAACGTCCTCCGCTTACTTTTTGAAGGCTCCTTTTGAGCGCCGACCGCTACCGCTACGCCCGCAACGCCAATAAGCTTCGCGTATGGTATTCTAATTCTCGACTATTTGCTTCCACTTTTTGTGTCCCAAATAAATCTTGCCTTGTGTTGAACCTCCGCTTTTATTGTTGAGGTAAGTTCTAATTAGTACTTCCTAAAGCTTGCTGTAAGGTGCTTTTGTGAGAATTCGGATTTGCGGCCACTTCGTTTTCTTTTTCGCTCTCTGCGTTTTCGTCGAAAGTTTTCCCCGCGTAATTCTCGCACCCCCCAACTTTGCATCGGTTTTCTGGCAATAAAAGTGCGAGGATTATGCGAGT